GGGGGGGGCGAGTCTTTGTGTGCATCAGTGTCTCATTCTGCTGCTCGACGTCAGGGCAGGCAACAGGTTTTTAAGTCCTTTTAAACGGCCCGCAGGATTTTTAACCGAGCGATGAGCCGCCGATGGCTCTCTTGTGAAGCCAGGTTTCACCACTTGCATTGCTATTTCTGCCGTAAAACTTTTTTTCTTGACACCTAAATGGGCAGGCCAAAGGTGGGGGTGCTCAAGACAAGCGTATGCAACTTCCATTTGTTAGGAGGGGCTGAGCACTTATCCCCCATTTTGACCTCAGCTCACTGAGAGAAAATGCTAGATTATATTCTGTCAACGCATTGTTCCTGAACCCACAGTTTCTCCCTACTGGTAAGTCATAATGCTGTTGTGTCAGTATTTATCCTTACACCCTAGTTAGATTTAGTGTGTGCATCTTCTCTTGACTTCGGGGTAAAGTAGGTTTTATTGGCTTTATTGTTAATATCTATTGTTGACAAAGTACTAGGGTAACTCGCAGTATTTGTCTGCTGTAATGGATATGATAGTGGTATTCAAATTACTGATATTTTAATGGGTTGGGCAGTGCAGTTGTAGTTGCCATGCATAACTAACATTAACTGGCTTTCCCCTTTTCTGGTGTATAGTGTTTAGAATAAAAGCCAATCTTCAGTCGTGGCGTTGAAATGTTTTTGTTGTTTTTTTGTTGTTGTTTCTTTTAAAAAAGATCAATCATAATGAAAAATATATTACAAATTATATTAAAGGCCGGCAAGTGTACATCCCACCCTAGCCTTATTGTTGTTGTTTTTTGTTGCTAATTTTAGTATTTACTTATCCTGTTGCTGTCTTCACTCAGTGCACTATGAAAATAACTAAAACATACAGGTTTATTGCTAAATAAAAGAAACAAAAAACATTTTGAGGCACACCAAGGAGGTCTTGGCATCTATCTGAAGGAAAATCACCAGTACTGTGATTAAAATATAGATATGTATTTTTAATTTTAATAACTTAAAACAATTAGGTTTATTTTTTATAATCCAGGGGAAGGAAAAACAACAGAAAAATGCACTTTCTGTTAAGTAAGGTGGTATCAACTCTTACTTTAGATGAACACCATTGGTGATTATGTGCCTAGTCACCCCCCACGGCCCATTTTAAACCAGGAAAAACCCTGACATGTAACACTCCCAGTAGATTGTAGACATAAGGACAGCCTCCCAGTGGTCGTCATTTGAAAATTCCCGAAGTTTATTCAGTATTACACCGTGCAGAAATTTCAGTGTTCTGTTTGCAGTATGTACTTTTCACATAACCTGTTATTAGTGTTGGCAAATAAGGACCCAAAATTCTACTGTTGCTGGGACTAATAAATTAATTACCTGCTTGTTTAATTTTACAAAATATCTTCAAGTTGCTTTTAGGTACAAATGGGTACGTTGGTACAAAATATTTTAAAGTGGCAAGTTTTAAAACTTGAAAATGTCTTTATGTCAGAGTCATATCTCTGACATAAAGTCTCTCTGTCATATCCAATCATTTTTAAAGATTGCTAAAGGCTGGTTATTTGTGTTTGTTGTAGCCATACTTTACTTTTGCTTACCGCTAATGATCTCTGAGTCAACTCTGAATTTAATCGACATCTCTGACGCAATATCAAGATTTCCTCCAGGTGGCATTTCTTCTTCTTCTTCTATTTTTCTTTCTTCTTTTTGTTTGTGACTTTGTCCACAGTGTGTAGAAATGATACTTCTCAAGATGTTTTCCCCACTCAGACTGCATTTGCTTTGATATAGGCTGGTACTGTTTAGGTCTCCAAAATAGTGTGTTACCACTTTGTAAATTTTAGTGAAAACAAAACTTAAAACATGTTGGGTTTTGAGGTGGGAGGGAGGAGTTTGAGTTTAGTGCCTGACTGACAACAAGTGCAGAGTGGCCTGTGGCCAACCATGGTCACTCATGTTAGATGTGGCCTACCAAGTTGAGATTTTCATAACTTGGTCAGTATCTCGCCTGCTTTGTGGCATTTGAATGGTAAAAATATAGAGCAGATGAATTTGCAGCTTATGTATATCCACCGTTGCACTATGCTGTTTAAATGACTTCCCTCAGTGCTTTTACGATGCCTGCATTACTACAGTGCGAGAAATTTATTTCATATGGACATTGTAGTGCAGATCCATATATCTGAATTTTTGTAATGTTACTTTATTTTTTTAGAGAGATAAAAAGAGGTTTTGATCAGCCTCAGCCATTTTTACACACACACACACACACACACACACACATCATTTCTGCTGATTGAGATTACATTTTATTTAAAATCCTAACATTTTTTTGTGTCTGTATGTCTCAGCTTTTTAATTGGGGAATAACATGTCATCCTAACCATTAGGAGTGATGAATGGCATGGTGAAAATGACACCGTATTTATACAGGTGAACGAACTAAATGATCAAATTTCCTGGAAATCTGAGCTGAGTGTAATAAGCAGTAAATATTTTTGTCTGGTTACTATATTCATATAAGTAACGTTTCTATAATTGGACCATTTCGCCTCCATTTTTGGATTAGATATTGCAGAAAGCACCAGTTGTCAGAACAGTTAACCATCTAACAAAGAGGCAAAATAAACTTACACGCTCCTTACCTTTGCTTGTAGTCGCTTGCTGAGACTGAAAAGCCCAAGTGAAGAGCAGCAGCAGAGAATGGCTGCAGTGGAAACAGACAAGGAGCTCAGCGACTTGCTGGATTTTACCGCGGTAAGATTTCTCCAGAGATTGCTTGAACTTGTTGATTCAATTCATCATATTCTCACAGATGGCAGATTTTAACTTTCATAACAGATTTTGAACAGTTGTCAAGTGGATTGAAGTATGTATGGCATTCATGTTTGAGCAGGAATTGAAGGACTGCAGCGGGTACATGAGCAGGTTTTATATGAGACTCTTGTTGTCTGTTTAATTTGTGGTGTTAGTCAGGCAAAGCTGCATTGTGGAGATTGCTTTATGCCTGTCATACCTGCTGGTTAAACAGGATAAGATAAAGGATAGGGTAGTATAAATTATTACCTAACTATCCTTCCCACAAATGAGGAGGGAAAGTCTTACACTGAATTCCAGTGGTTTGTTTACAGTGTCGTTCCTCTCTTTCAGATGTTTGAGCTTCCAGTTTCAAATGGCAAAAACCGGCCAACAACTCTCAACAGCCCTAAATTTGGAGGTTCAGGTAAGAAAGAAATCTTTTAGACATTTGTTTTATCTCTGAGCCTTATGTTTCAGGTCAAATTTCCTTTAAAGACATAATGATATAAATGCCAATACTGAACAACCGATACCCTTCTCATCTTTTCTCTCAGCTAAAGGTAGTGAGAAATATTGGGGGTTTTTTTGTTATGCACTGTAGTACATTTCCTGACAGTAATCTGAACCAGTGAGGGGCTTCTTCCAGTTTCAGTATCCAACCTTCGCACACTCTTTGTGTTTTGAATTAAAATAGAATAGGAGACAGTTCCTTCTCACCTTTGCTTCTTATAAACTGTTTTTTCGATCAGACTTTTTGAGAGAACTTCAGGAACAATTGTCATCTTATTTTACATTATGCAGAACAAGCATCATCTCCCTTACACTTCCTCATCCTCACCTTCTCAGCTGTTGCCATTCAATCACGTAAGGACAAAGGCAGAGGGTGGGGGTGGTGGAAGCAGCCCAATTAATCTCCTGTGCTTACTCTGTGAAAAAGTGTATTCCCTTGTCCTGCAATCTTGCACCCTACTTTTCTTCTCCACATAACTCATTTTCACCTAAATCTATTATCTGTCCCAATCAGCAACCCCACCAGGCCGACACTTGCAGTCAACATTAAGACGCATGTGTTGCTTGCAGTGTAAAAAAGAGCCCCAGAGATGCCTATGACATTGCTTTGAACATTTATCTGTATGTGTATTTCCTACAGTAGGCCTGCCTGGGTTATGCTTCATCAAGTTGATTGATAAGGAACAGCAGTTGTCATTCAGTATGAGTCGGCAAACAATCAGTGTCATAGATGGAGCTAAGGCAGTTGTTAACTTGTGGGACAGAACTAAAGAGGAGATATAACAGGATTCATTTTCATTATCCCCTTACATTAGTTTGTTTTTACTTTTAGTTTGCTTCACTCTTAAAAGCCTAGCAAAACCAGCGTATCAACAAGGTTGCACATCAGTGTTGGCTTAAAAGCAGATACAGCAAGGTGACAAACTTTAGCAATTTAAAGACAGGATTTCAAGTTCATCATATTGATTCTTGGCATGACAAACAGGGTTAACTCAATATCCTTTGCTTACACTGGTTGAACTTGTGAGACGCTATCAAAGGGTTACTGATGTATATCTGGGGCACAGTGTTATGTTCTTTCTGCTGTTAAATCATATGATCTATACAGTTCTTTGAATTAGAAAATGTTACGTAGTTAGCTTAGTGTGGCATCAAATTTAGAAGAAAGAGGGAAACATTGTTCCAAAGTTTAAAAGTTCACCTTTGAAAGCTTAAAAATTTGATCAAATCTTGTCAGTCTAAGAGAGTGTGACTTCTGGAGAAACTGGCAGCGTGTGTGTGTTTTATTTTTTCTTCTTCTTCTTCTTTGTACGATGAAATGACTTCCTGAAATTGTGTCATGTCAGTGATGTTACGAGGTCTGCCACCATCAGCCTAGCCACAGAGACCTATACTAAACCGACCATGTTTCTGCAACAGGCCAAAATACTGTTGCGCAGATTGATTGTTTCCTCTAATCAGGAAATGAGACACATTCTTTGTTGTTGTTTGTGTATCCCAGTGTGTTAAAAGATCCTTGCATTTCATTTTTAGAATGAGAGCTTTGTTTCCTACATTGTTTTCTTTTTTTTAATGTAGTACTAAATTGTACTGTTTTCTGACTTTTGGGGAGTAGGAATGGGTACAGAAACCTAGTAGTAAACAGGCAGCAGTGCTAAACAATTAAGACCTTAATACTGACAAATGTCAGTTTTTTTCTCTGTACTAGAGAAATCATGGCGTATGCTATTCCCAATTCAGAAGAAAGCTGTTCTGCGCAAAGAGCAGTGGCAGCACTGGGTACCAAACACACAAGTTCAGCAAGTACCACGTTCAGTGGGAGACATGAACAGTCTATGGAAACATGGTCTAAATGCATCACATACAGGGATGAGGAATGCATGGTTTTCATCTGCCTTGGCTCTTAGTTCATCTCTCAGTGACCCATGTATGTAGTGTTTGGTTTCATGGTTTAATGATTAACAGCAGGCAGCTGATTGGGTGTTTCTGAATTCGGTCTGATATAATCATGTCATCACTTGTCATTCTGATAGTCACGGTTTCGTTTTCAGAGCACTTAGAGCTTAAGCAGATTCAGTGATAAGATCCATGATTTGTACAGTTGAGATAAGAAAATAAAACTCCAAAACAAAAAAGGTACTGTTAAAACACTCAGCCATTAAGCATTATCATTAGTAGTAGTGCTGTTTAAAACTTAACAGTATAACTAAATATGATTTCTTTTGCAACCCAGCTTACTCAGACTGTTCTTTTGTGTGGAGCAGCTGCTGTTTGTTTTCTTTATGGAGTTCGTTAGATGCCTTTTCCCCCCAGTCTGATTTAGGTTTGGGGTATGTGGAAGTTTAACATGTGGGGCTGTGGGGAGCCTCCCTTTTTAGATGCTTCAACACTGATAATGTCTCTGCTATGGTCTTATGTCCGTTAAAGTCCTTTCACTCGTTTTTTTTCTCAGTGCACTTTCATTTTTTTGGTTGCTGGAAACTGAGAATCCTAAAATATATTTTTAAACTTTGGAGAGAAATGCAGAAGAGAAGGAGGTAAAAAAATTTGCATGAAATGTTTCATTTTTCAAACGTGTTCGTGATTCTCGGATACTGAAAGTCACAAGTTAAATCCTTCCATCTGCCAGTACATTTTCTTACCCACTTATCCAACTTGGAGGCTATTCCAGGTGCCACAGAGTGGGAAGCAGATTTGATCTTTAACATTTTAATCCCTGGCACATATTGCTGTTAAAATTGTTTAAAAAAACCCCAAAACATCACCTGGTTTCAGAAGACATTTTAATGTTATCAAAGCACTATATGGTAGTGGGATAGGGTGGATTGTGTTGTGTTTGAGAAGTTGTCGGTGACTCACAGCTTAAAAACAGTCAGAGCTTTGCTATTGTACATTGTTCAGTATTTTATTAACAGTGTTCACTCTCTTGAGATTTATCTGACATCATGCTTTGTGTCTGTGTGACTCACTTTGCCGAGGGAAGGAAGAAGTTGTGTAGACAAATGGCGCACTCAGTTATAGGTGCCTGGGGCAGTGTTCCTGTAAAAACGAAGACATGTCTGCAAGTTTGGTCAATGTATGTGCTTGGGTTTTGCTCATGAAGCCTATGACTCAGGCTGGCTGTCTGTTTCCAGTGTCTTTCTTCCTGTGTAATTATAGACTAGCCATGCTTAAAGGGGCGTTGCATGCTGGGAGGAGAAGTGCATTGGGGTTCTCCAGAGACTTTGTCTGATGTTACTCACCCTTCTCTTCGTTTTCTCTTTCCAGTTGTGGTAATTTGTCTGAATAGCGCGCTACTCATTATTTTCTCACGATTGTAGCACTTCAAATGGCATTAGCGGAAATGTGGTCTGTAGAGAGCTATATAATTTTGTCCTTTTTTTTTTTAAATTCGTAGCCACACAATTGCTCAAAATCCTGTGGATGTTTATGTATGATGAAGTTTCTTGCAGTGTTGGCAGTTTGATCATTTTTATCTGTTAAAGCACTCTAAATTTTCCTATAGAGCTGGATGAGCATAATTTCCGAAAAGGAGGATGTAGATGAGTAACACATTACAAAAAAATGATTTGTCAGAAACATGAAAGCGCTGTTGGAGGTAGTGAGGAGGAGAATAGAAATACATCCAGTATGTGCTTTTGTCAGAGAGAGGGTCACATTCTGTGGTTTTGACAGATTTAAACAGGGTTATGACTGTTGAATTCCTTTAAATATAGAGTAAGTACACAGATTTATCTGTCTGTATGAAATGACACAAGAATCCCGCATGAAAACAAGATGATATACATTTGAGAAAATAACCAGACATCACAGTTTTTCTGAATCAGATTAATTTCATTCATTTTTATTGCATTGATAGTAAGATTCTTTTGAAATGGTAGTAGTTCAGAAAGGGTAGGTTCTGTTATAAAAATATAATAAGTAATGTCACTATTTTAATTACTTCATCAAAGCAGTGCAACAGATTTGATTACTTTTTAAATAACTTTTCTAAAATGTTTAATTGGGGGACTGATTCTGGTTTTTAGTAAGTTATATTAACTTACATAATTAAATTATGTAATGCCCTGTAAATATCAGGTCACAAACCTTTTACTTACTATATAGTGGCAAAAATCAGGACACGTGTGTGTTTTGCATAATATGCTGAGGTTGGAGAAAACCATTGGGAAGCAGCAGCGTGGCAGGAACAAAAATCAAGCTGTTTTGAAAAGGTAGCATTTCTTCTTCTTTTCTTTTCTTTTTTAATAAAAAAGGTGCATTTATTTAAGTTTTAATTTATTAATTGATTTTTTTTCATTGATTTTTTTTTTTTTTTTACTTTTGACTCTTGACATCATCACCTGATACTGTTAAATTTGCTTTTACCATCAATTACAACATGTGTTAATCCCAGTAAGTGCCTAGAAGAAGGACAGCTGCCTTACACAGGTCTTCTAAAATGACAGGATTTCTAGAGGTTTCTGAAAATCAGACCCCATGAGAGGTTTTAGTTTCTTGCTAGAAGGTCTTCTAGCACAGTCTAAATCACAATTTCTCCACATGGATTTTGTTGAACATATGGTCACATGATCCTAAATGTTTGTGGGGTTTTGTTTTGTTTTTGCTGCAGAGATGTGTAGAAATATTAGTATGTACGTTACATAGAGAGAGTGTGAAATGAGCGTTGCCTCCTGTTTAGTTGCAGCATTTATGGACAAACATGGCAACAGTGACAGTGTAAATTAATACTTTCAAAAGCACAGCACTAATTAACCTCACCCATCACAACGCGGTGGGGTTGATTAGAGCCTTAACAATAACAAAAACATGAAATATACATCGAGCTAAATTGGATATCAAAGTTTGATGAAAGTGTAAACAAATTAAAAAGAACATAATGTTATGAGATAGCTCATTACAGCAGCTAAAAATTAAAAGTAGCTTAATTAAAACACAGTTATATATAGTTGATGAAATACAATTTGACAAAGCAAATGTAAAATGTCAACTTGCACAAATAGCTGAATAAGTATATTCACAGTCCAGGAAATCTGTTTTCAAAATCAGTTCGCAGCTGTTCTTTGTCTGCCAAGCAGTTTTTAGGTTAACAAAATAAGCTGAACCTCTGAGATACACAGTGGGTCCAGTGAATTTTATTTAAATTGTGTCACAATCAATCACTCTTTTGCCTAAATTAGTAAGAGTAGGAAAGCATGGACAACACATTAAAGTAGTTTTGTTTTTTTGTTTTTTTGTTAAAGCAATGCGGCAGTGTGGAAAAACAGACCACTTGGTAAATAATACCATTGATTAAAAAAAAAAAAATATAGATTGACCATTACAAATCAGGTTTCTCTTTCTTCTAACTTGCTATTTCTATTCCTGTCGAGGAAGAGAAGGTGCCACATATTAATGTCCTGCTAATTAGCGAGATAGTTGTGGTGTGGTGCGTGATTCTGAATGTGCAGTATTCATGTCGATCGGTCAAATAAAGCAGCTGAAATACTCCACTGCTCTGTAAACCCACATTTCATTCTAATATGCTGAAACCGTGAAGTGGAAATTTGATTCTTTAAATAGTTGCAGTGTATTTATTTCATTTTTAAAAAATATTTTCAGAAATGCAGTTGTTATACACAACAGTGTAAAATAGAAAACACTGAATTGAAGCCTTTTCTTCTCTCTATTGTGGGCACTGATGATTTACAGTAATAGTAATTCTTTTACACATTTTCTTTATCATCTTTGATTGACATGAAGAGTGACAGCCAGCCATAGAGAGGGGACAAGACATTTTCTCCTTCATCTCCTATTCTGCTGCTGCTGTTTGTATAGATCACAGTTGTCACAGCAATCTAGCAGCTCTCGGCAAAGTGGACCCATCACTCTGCTGTACTGCTGATCCTGTCATGATTCTAGCCCCCCTCTCCCCCCTCCGCTTTTTAATTAGACAACAAAACAAAAATATGAATATTCATAGACCTGTGCTTCATTAATATGTACAATTATGCAAATCAGTACGCAATTAAGCTTCAGCTTCCCCCCCAGAGATGCCGTGTTGCAGTACGAGAGGACATTGAGAGCAAGGGGACAGGCAGGAATTTCTGCTTCACCAATCTTTAAAATCACCCCTTTCAAACACATTCACCTCTTTGAACGCTGAGGTGCTCCGGCCAGGGATGACTTGTGCAATTTGTGCGAGATTGAGACCTTGAGTCTGTGTTAAGACGAAGGTGTAGGCCAAGTGTGTGAGAATAGATGAGCTGTGAATGACTGTTGCCATGGAAAATGTAAAAGAGTGGAGTGGGAGAATGAAGAATGTCGAGGATGATTCTGGGAGCCTCACACTGGGTGTTAATTATTCAAACTTCCTACAGCTCATATCCACGCTATGTGACAGCACTGTCACTATGCTGTCTCTGTGTGAGCTGCAAAGTGAAGCTCCTCGGCGGAGGTTACTTTGAGCTGCCTGAAAAACTTGTATCAAAGCAAGTTCGCCAAGTTAGACATTTCTTTGCAAAGTGACACTGTAAACCTGTGACAAGAATTTAGTGGCTAATAGCTAACCCAGTGCTTTGTCTTGCAGGTATAGATGAGAGGAATGGGTCCAGTCCCTGGGGAACAGGGGAACAAAACAGTCCATCTTTCAACCAGGGAAGGGTATGGCTCATTTTCACTTATTGCATTAAGAAAAAATAAATAAATAAACCCTTAATGTTACAGCCTAGATTCCTGCCGTTCTCAATAATGTGAACAGCCTAAATTTATTTAATTTAAACGATGTCAGAACTGATCTGTAAAGTCCAGCATGATGTTACATATTAATTCTGAAGCTTTTTATGACTTTTTTTCACACCTTATAAAAGGTCAGTACATCAGTACTGGAGTACTCTACAGTGCTGTAGAACTGTATTCAGGGTTTCTAGCAGTGAAGTTGTTAAGCTTGAGAGTAGCAGTAGACTCATAAGCTGCATCAGCTTTTATCTGAGATTGAAAAAATAAACAAAAATTCTCAAATCTTTAGGCCCAGCAAGGGGTCTTTCTTAGGCCCATGAGCTGGGAGCTTGAAATACTTTCGCAGAATACTCTACTTTTATCTGCAGGAGTTTATTTTCTTACATGGTAGCTTTGGTCTTTATTTATTTGTGTTTCTATTCCCAATACCTTTTGTTTTCTTTCCCTTAGGGTTATGGAGAAGAAGGCCTTTACAGTGAACAAGAGGCCATGGCTTCTGCTCCCATATTTGAATCAGGGATTGTTGGTAAGGACTTGTTAACTAAACTGAATAAGGCATTGAAGCGTGGACACCACAACTTTCACATTGTCCATTTTACAAACCAAAGAGAGTCGGGGAAGTGTGAGGCAAATGTTGATGATGATGATAATAATCGTACTTAATTATGGAAGAACACTGACTGAAAAACACAAGTTTATATGAATGGGTAGTGTGACTGAATCAGAATGAGGAGTTGTTTGGGGGACAGAGCAGCTATTCTTAGGCTGGACACTAACATATCAGTTTAAGGCAAAAGGATTTTAATGGATGAAGTGTGAGTAGGGTAGTGGGGAGGATGTGGAGGAAGGGTTTGTTTGTGTGCAGTTTGTGTGTTCAGTGTGGGAGGGGTGCGGAGTGTAAAGGGCACCCATGCACAAACAAGGCTGTCCCTTGGGATTACATTGGCCTATAGCTCCCCTCTGTTAACTGGCAAAGGAGGGGGGTGTTTGTGAGCACAATTGCCCCTGAAGCATTTATAATGGGCCAATTTGTCTTTTTTCTTTTTGCTGTCCACGGCCATAAATACCGCAAGTCTTCATATATACTCACATACTGGGAGGTACCCAAATAGAGAAAAGGGGATAGACAGTTTGTAATTTAACATAAAAAATACCCTCTACAGTTATAGAACCTTAACCTGATTTCTTGTAATTTCCCCTCAACAGGGAAGGCAGAACGAGGACCATACTCGTCACTTGGAATGCAGGTAAATAAATTTGAATGGTGCTTCATCCCCATTCGCTGAAGCTTCTTTTCACAAATTTTGACTCTTGGTCAGTTTTCTTTCTTTCTTTTTAATTTACGTCTCATATTTTGCACTCTGTAGCCGGGCTTCATGACCAGTGAGATGCCCATACCCAGTCCTGATGCCCTCTCTCCATCTGGCACGAAGCCAAACTCTCAGTTTTATCCCTCCTATACAGGGAGCAACCCTCGCAGGAGACCCTCACAGGACCCCATAGGTAAGGGTGCAAATCATTATTTCAGGCAGGGTGTTGAACGCTTAGAAACCGAATCTTCTGTCACATTTATTGTCTTGTTCTGATCTATTTTAAGGTTGTGTGTACAATCACTTCTCCTGTTGAGGTTTTTAAAAAGTGTCTGAAAAATCTCACTTCTTCTTAGTGAGAGAAAATGAAAATCCTGAGCTCCCAGGGAAGAAAATTGGCCAATAACATCACCTTCATTATCTTTAGATTAGACATTAATGAGCAGTAACAAATGCAGATTGATGGATCAATTCGGCAGAAAAAATCTTTGATTGTATAGTTACTTGTGCAATAAGGTCTTTTTGTGTAAGCTGGCTGATATGATTTCCCCTCCTGTCTGCCTCCACAGAATCGCAGGCAAAAAAGATCAGGAAGGTGCCCCCTGGCCTGCCCTCCTCTGTGAGTACTTCATCCATACTCCAACCCCATACTGTATCTCAGCCCTTGCATTCACTTCATGCGAGCCCATGTTTTAATGCTTTACGCCCTTTTTCACATTCCATTTGGCATCTGAAGCCGCTCCTTGGCTTGCAGAGCAGTGTAAAAGCTGCAGTACAGGACTTCCAGCTCTTACAGCTGCGCATCTGCACCACCAAGTAAAAAAAGGAATCGGAAAAAAGCCACTCATTCACCCAGTCCCTCATTTGCAGTATGTATTTATAGTGTGTTGTATTTGTAGGCCCTTTACTTTATGACCACATTTCTTTCCCGCTGCCAAGTATACTCGTTAGATCACTGAAGAGAATTCATACTGGGGTTTGATGCTTCTTACTCCTCCTCATTTTTTTCCTCCCACTCTCCCTCTCTGGGCACCCTATTTCCTCATTTTCTCTACCCTCCACCCCACCCCACGCCACCCCACCCCACGCCAGTTCTCTCTCTCCTTCCCCCTCCACCGCCATCACCCGCAAACAACAGCCCTCCCCTTTCTTTCTCCCTCCCTCCCCCTTCCCTCTATCCCAGCTGCCAGAGAAGTTGGCCGCCATCCAGGATACGGCAGATGGTTCAGTAATTAGGAGTGCATCTCTCCATTCCCTCTTCTCCTCTCCCCACTTTTTTCTCTCCCTTTTCTCTGTGTAATCAAATTATAGAAGAAAACTTCAGTCCATTTGGATTTGAGACTTTCAGACACAGTTTGATACTTGAATTTACAAAGAATGGCCTTGATTGAGAAAGTTGAGGTGCCATCATAAACATGTACCAAATCCAGCTGAAACTTCCATTATATGGTCACATCGTCCCGTCCTGTCTGTAAACTATTCTCAGCATGTTTCTGTTTAACAGGTTAATATGTAAAAATGGTGGACAGGGCCCATAAAAGTGCTGGCATGATTCATTCAGTACACACACTGCTCTGTGCTCATGCCTGTAAAAATGTTGTAATCCTCTGTTTATTCAATTTAAGTAGTAAAACCAGATAGAAAAAATAGATTCTAACCTTGGATTGAACCCATACTTTTAAGGGCTGTAATCAGGTACCTACTGCATATGTTATTTTAGTTTTGATGTTTCAAATACCCCAGACACAGTTATTTTTAAGAACATAGTTTTGCTTATCTACAGAATTATGTTCAGAGAATTTTCCAGATGAAGTTTGAGCAAACCCACTTTAAGCGTTTTAAGGCAAATGTAAATTAAGTTACTGCATGCCATGCGTGCAACAAGTCACCATATAATTTAGCAGTTACTTAGCTTTATCACACTGAGCATTCAAGGATTGAGCTAAGCGGTGTTTTTGTTTTGTTTTTTTTGGTAGGTTTATACATCAGCCTCAGGGGAGGAATTTAACAGAGACAATGCTTGCTACACAGGCTCCAAGACAGGAAACGTCTACCCACCACCATTCTTCATGCAAGGTCAGTTGAAACAACATGTTTTGAAATCCCCCCCCCCCTTTTTCTTTGTGTTGAGTTGAAAAGTTCAGCCTGACCTAAACACTTTCATAAGGTTTTTGTGAACTGAGAGGTGAATTGCTCACCTATGTAGAAAACAAATATCCTTTATTTCCCTTAATAGCTTTTACAGCAGGGAAATTAGTTGTCTGCTATATTCGTCTGGATGTCCAGATGAACTGTAGATGCTGTCACTGTATGCCAGTAAACACCCTGTGGTGCCGGGGTGTTGAATGGTGCATCACGGTTGAATGAAGTGATCACAGTAATGTGACATGTCTCATATGTAGCCTTCATTGTCCTTTTATCTCTTGTGGCTGGTTTTCTCTCGCCCTTCTTGCTTCCCCCCCTCACTCTGCTGGATGTCCCCTGACAGAAGGCCTCCACCCACCCTCCGACCCATGGGGCTCTGCCGGGTCGATGGTTCAGCCTGGTTATTCTGCCATGCTGGGCAACTCCCCCCATCTGAGCCAGCATGGTCCCTTTACTGCCATCAACCCCCAAGACAGACTGGTAAGCTCTGCAGTCACACTTAGGTTTGTTGATGAGGTCAACAACACACATTAAGACAAATGCATCATTAGGAGCTTCTGTCTGCTTCTCTTTTTAAATGGTTTTGGTTTTGTGTGTTTGCTTTCAAGAAACGGCAGCCACTGCCCCTCTCTCCTCAAAATTACCCCCTGCATGCCAGTGAAGTGAGCGGGGCTCATCCTGCTGGCTTCCACTCTGGCTCCAGCAGCTTTGGAGTCCCCAGCCACACACCCCCCATCACTGGCAGCGAAACCATTATGGGTAAATCCTTTAATGTGTGCTCTTTTATTTTATTTTATTTTTGAAAAATGCTGGTGTTGTCTTAATTTAAATTATCTGCTATCCTAATTGATGATTATTACTCCGCTCCCCCCTCCATTTAGTAAATCGGGGTGCGATACCCGGAAGTTCAGGTGACGAGATTGGAAAAGCTTTGGCATCTGTAAGTAACAACATATTATAATCACATAGACTTTTTAATATTAAACATGATTGCTCTGTTTCATAATACATATAAATTATTATATTGCATTTCAGTGAATTAAAAAAAACAAAATTCTGTGTCCAGATCTATCCTTCAGACCCAAACAGCAACGCTTTCCCTCCGTCCCCTTCAACTCCCTCTGGCTCTCCTCAGGCTTTATCAGGTAAGTCAGTGACTGTAGTCCTTTAATCCTGAGGCCTCAAGGTCAGCTGGGCCTCAGCTGGTTGTTTTGTAGCTTTGTTTGTTCAAACCATGTATTTGTTCTTTCCTTTGCTACCCCGCAAGGCCATGATACATACTTTGAAAAACCTGTTGTTTTCACTATGGCGATACATGAACAGTTTAAAGTGACAGTGCAGCTCCATCTGTTGGGTTAAACATGGAAGTAATGCATATTGTTTAAGCCTTTAATTTTGTGTAAAAAGGGATGTTAACTTTCTTGTGTTAAGTTAAGCCATGAACTGTTTCAGTGCCATCAATAGATTCCAGTACTTCTCATTTCTTACATTACATGGAAAACTAAAATGCTACCTTGGATATATCTTGTGACCTGCTGGACCTTTTTAATGTGGAGTACTGTTGATTATCAGTTCAAGTTAGAAACATAGATGGGAGTAATCTTAGTTCATGAACTTTTACCACGTGTCATTGAGTTCATGAAGGCCTTTTTCTTGCATTGGCACTGTACAAACATAGAACTGAGATAAGTTTGGCATCCAAGATTATCTTGACATTTAGGTCATCAGATTTGGCTGCACATTGGTAGTAAGGAATGGTTCAGTTATTCACCAAACCCTTAACACAACTTTTTTCATATTTTATTAAACCCTTGCTGTAAATGCAGGTGTTTATGCCACAAACAGGGATATTTTCTCTGGACGTACTGTAACTGGGGTGATATAACTACCCCATTCACAGCTTAACCTTCACTTGATCTTTCTCACACACATACACCAGCCAAATATAGCTTATGAGAGAGGAAGGGAAAATACCGTAAAAATAAAAAGAGGGTGGGTCGCTTCCTTATTTGTATATGCGTTCAGTCCATGCATGAGCTCATCACCACCTAATTCATCAACACTTATGTTGAATTAAGAAACAAAGTAATAAAAGTGATACGTATTAGATTATATTGGACAGAGAAATTTCTTTGAAATGTTTAATAAGTTTATACTCAATACCATTCCATATCTATTGTATCTATATCTTCACATTTATTTGATGTCTCTTTCACATTACAGCAGTTTCACGTGTTGAGTTTCAGAAAATTACAGCCCGGTTTTTCTCAGTTTCTCAGCAGTTGATGGTTGGCCACACATGACAATGAACATGATTGGTCCACTTACAGTGAAGGCAGTGAGTCTGTGTTACCTTATTCACTAGAAATGTCTGCATTTCTTTTTGAATTTTGGCCATTTAAACATAGATTGCACTTAAATGACTAATAATAACCATGGTGAACTGCGATCTGTTATTGGCCATTACACTTAAGAGACGATATTACACATGAGCCATGTTGTTAAAATTAACAACTGTTTGAACAGTGAGTTCAGATCGTGCTTGTTGTTGTTCAGCAGTCTGATGTTATGGAGGCGGGAAAAGGTGGGGATGGTGGCTTTTGCATTCCTTGTGGGTAGCAGTTCATGTTATGGATCAACATTTTAGCTAATAGTGCTTTTTGGGACTAGTTGTCAAATTAAACTATGTAACTTGCAAATTGGTTCTACAGTATAGATAGAAGTGAGTATAATGCAATAAAATGTAAACATCAAATGAGTTACAATTGTATTTACATTAGACAAGTAAAAAATTTCCTCTTGGGAATAACCCAAAACAACTTTAGTGGGCAAAAATGAAAAATCTAACAACAAAAGTAGTTTAAGTGGCACACAACTTAAAAACCTAACATATGAAATGCAATCTTAAGTATGCATGTTATTTCCACTTGGCCACCATCACATGACAGTGACGTTAACAGAACTTCAATTTTGGACCTATGGGTCTGTTCCTATCTGCATGTCTGCGTCATGGCTCGTTGTGGAGAACAAATACTAGAATATTTAAAAGCCTGATTAACGACATTCACCATGATGATAAACACAGTTGGAGAAGGTAAAGAAGATGCTAAAAAAGTTGACTTTGATAATTTAGCTTTGAGTCACTAAACACGTGCTAAATGAAATCAAATGTATGTATTGTGCAAAAATCTCTTTGTATATGATGCTTTGCATCTAGGTTGTTGAAGCATCTTGCGAACTTGCCACAGTTATACTGCAGATTTAAGCTGCGTCTTCAGTCGCATACTGGCTCAGTGGTGTTGAAATTGGGGCTGTGTAGGGGCGTATCAGGACTTCCTGTTCTTGTAGTTGAAGGTGGTATTTTTTTTTTTTACTCTCGTTCAACGTTGTTTTCATATGTTGCGCATTGAACTCGGGAAAAATCAGCGTTAACCTTCGACTGAAAGGCCAAAGCTGCAAGGAATGTGTTCAATGCGTCACTGCTTTTTTCTTTTCTTTTCTTTTTCTTTTTCCCCTTTTCAAGAGTATACGAACATATTTCCTAATGTTAACAGAAAAGAGAACATAACCATCTAAGACAGGATAAAACTTTAGCATGAGGACACGACTGTTTGCACAGTGATGCAAAATATTTCTCTACATATGAATATCTCTAAAGGTAAACCTAATAGGCCTTTATGCAAGACAAGCATAACATGTAGCTAAACATTGTATGGAGACTGTTACTCACTTTAAAGGACCCCAGGTGCATCAATAATAAGAGAGAAAGCTTCCTGCTGACTACTACAAATTGTAGGGCTTGTTTTTCTGAATAACCTTGTGATCTTTGTTTCTCAGGCTCTGCATCCCAGTGGACTCGATCCTCTGGTCAGGCCACACCTTCACCTAACTTTGATGGGAGAATTCAGCCTATGGTGAGTAGGTTTTTCACTCTTCATTTTTGTCAGAGATTAGAGTTGTACAACCCTTTATGCCTCGTCTTGCCTCATCATTCCACTGTTCTTCTTTCTCTGTTGCAGAATAAAATGGAGGACCACCTGGATGAAGCCATCAATGTTCTTCAGCGTCATGCCAGCGGGCCAGGACTTGCTGAAATTCACGGCCTGCTGCAGTCGGGCTTAGGGTTACCGCCAGGCTTGTTGGTTACCGCTGGCAGTGCAGCCAGACTTCCCAGTCGCCTGCAGGGAATGGTGAGATTCATGAATAGTGTGAAAGAAAAGTTGAAGAAATGTAATATTTTAGTTTAATTCCAAAGTACATAGCAAAAGTGGTATGTCCATTTTTGCTACTGTTATGCCAGTATTAAGATTAATTTCTGTTTCAAGGTGTCTGGTCACCACGAGGACTCTGCTAGTCTGCCATCTAGTGGGGGACTTTTGCATGGGCACCATGGCTCTGCATCTGTGCCACCAGGCTCTCAGCATGAAGGCTTTACAGGTGCGACTTTCTTTTCATGGTGTCTTCCTGTTTTGTACAGCATGTCTTCTAATACTACACCTCTTTTTGACTGTGTATTGTTTCTTTCAGTGTTTTATAAAAATATTGGTCCTCAGTAACTTTTGTTTCTGGACTGTGTGTAGGCCTACCTGGTAACATAAATCGCCCCACTGCTGGTATCAAACAAGAGCTGAAGGAGGACGATGAGAACTGCTCCATGACAGACAAGTCGGAAGATGAGAAAAAAGAAATGAAGAACCGCTCTCGAACAAGGTGCACAGAATCTTAAACCTTATTTTTATTAATGCATGTAATCCTGTTTGTTAAATCTTACTCTGTATTGTAAATTTGACAGGGACTCAGTCTAGTTGTTACTTACTGGTAAAGCTTTTTAGCTTTAGCGATGGTGTCTTATATCAGATGTACAACAAGTGAACTGTACCCATACTGTTGTTTTCTACCTCCTCCTCTACCATGACTCCTCACTAGTCTGGATGAGGAGGATGACGATGAAGATCTACCAGTGGAGATTAAGGCTGAGCGGGAGAAAGTGCGGAGGTTGGCAAACAACGCCCGCGAACGGCTACGTGTGCGGGACATCAACGAGGCTTTTAAGGAGCTGGGCCGCATGTGTCAGCTCCATCTGAACAATGAGAAACCACAAACCAAACTGATCATACTGCAACAGGCTGTTAACATTATACTCAACCTGGAGCAGCAAGTTCGAGGTCAGTGGGTGTCCAAGGAGGAAGGAAGTGGAGGGGAAGGGCATCTTTACAAAATAAAACATCCATATGGCTTCACTTTCCAGCTTCATGTCCTACTATTCTAATATTAAAGCAATCTTGTTGGGATGGTTGTTACTCCATCCACAGTCTTAAACATACCGACTGGTTTTAAACATAAGTCTTTATGCGCCATTTCCTAAAATGGCCAATAATAAAGGACATGTGAGTAGCAAGTCAAGCTGTCTGGCTGTTTTTAAGACAAGCCCATTCTCCAACAAATCGTAAAAGTTTAATTTTCCTGTAACACACAGGACTGCTGTGTGTTCTGCAAAGCCTCAAAGCTAGTTGCTTGTTTCAGAGAAAGTGCTTACATGTCTGTCTGCTTCATTTTTGGACAACATTAACAACTTTTGTCTGCTCTTTTTTGTTTATTTGCTTTTGTCTCATTATGCTTTTATTCACCTATTAAGTTATTTCAGCATTTTAATGTCTTTAATCTCTCACAGTGTCCTTTACACCATGCAAGCAGAGCTCTGTGCTGTGTATTAACCCACCTTTGTAGCACTGTTTTTGTGCTGCGTGTGTTGCTCTTTCAAGCATTTAAGTCTCTAGCTTTGCTTTACTGTTTAAAATAAAAAGGAATCGTTTCGCCAGTCATTCTCCCCTCCCCTTTTATTTTCTTTACAGATGCCAACCGCGACCTACTCTTCCTTTCATTCCGATAAATACATCTCCCGCTGCTGATGTATTTAACATGACACCTTCAGTGTATCTCATTGTGTGTTTCTTCTGTGTCTTTCTGCGTAATGCATTTCGGCACAGGGTGTTGCTTCCTCTCTCTCCTTTTCTGTCTCACTTGCCATAACGTGTCTCATTCTGCTGGACAGTCACAATAATCCCCTCAACTTCCACCCTGGACCCAAATGACTGAAAGCTTTTTTTGGTGATTAGGTACCCTAAAAACACCCTAAAAACTGGTGATGCTGGTCAGCTGTTGCATTTTGATCCAGTCCCTGAGTGTTGAGTCTTCAACCTAAAAACTTAAGTGATTTTAACTCAAGCAGATTTTATGTGCCCATGCGCGCACACTCCTGCAGTACAGCTCCGCTGAGATCTTCATTGGACGTTTAATTAGTCTCTTTGTGGGAGTTTGCAGTCAGTGCGAAGGTCAAATTTTTCCTGGCAATGGGAAATTAGCTTAAATTTTTTTAAAAGCAGTCTAACTGGAATTTTAGTGAGACCACCTTGTCTAGGTTCAGTGAGGGTTGTGATTTGGGTTCGTTAACCAGCCCCTCCAACCACCCACCTGTCCTCCCAGCTGCAGCCTTGTCTCGGTGACCGATGAGAACCTGACTGCTGAGGAGAAGGAGCAGAGGGAGCGTGAGCGCCGCCTTGCTAACAACGCTAGGGAGAGAGTGCGTGTTCGTGACATAAACGAAGCCTTCAGAGAGCTGGGCAGGATGTGTCAGGTCCACCTGCAGAGCGACAAGGCCCAGACCAAGCTGGTCATCCTGCAACAGGCTGTCCAGGTCATACTGGGTCTGGAGAAGCAGGTGCGAGGTAGGTCAGCCAATTCAGAACAATCTGATTCCAACAGGCAGCCAGCCATCTCTCAAACATAGCTGGACATAAGTCGCTTGGTAGTCACCCAAAGGACATTTTCTCTGCTCCTGCTGAAAGTGTAAATTGCAGTTTTCTCTTTGCTTTTATCGCATGCGTGTTGTTGTTTTTTTTAAGGGGGGGAGAGAGAGAGAGAGAGAGAGAAAGGGAGAGCATCTGAGGAAGTAAATCCCTGCTTTTCTGCCAGACACCTGCAGCTTCTGCCATACTTTCCATTCTCACGTCTTGCTTGCTCTTTTATATCCCTCTTCTGTAATAAACCATTTGTATGTTCATAACTCTGCTGTGTATGATCTGTAAGGATTTCTCTAAGCTTAACAAGTCCAGTTTTGTGTGTTTTTAATGAATACATCTTTTTTAAAATTTTTGTTCAAGAGCGTAATTTGAACCCAAAGGCTGCCTGCCTCAAGAGGAGGGAGGAGGAGAAAGTGTCCTGTGTGGACCCCCAGATGCAGCTTAGTGGGGGTCACCCAGCTGTAGGAGATGGACACAACTCTGTGAGCCATATGTAACTCTTAGGTGAGTTTGCAGAATACGTGGATGTCAAACTCATTTTACACTATGGCCCACATACAGCTGACTTATTTGATGTGGACCGGACCAACAAAACTCCCCTTTCTGTTAGTGGAAAGAAGTTTAACTACACATTCAATCCCTGAGATGTCTTAACATAAGAATAATCTATCAGCATGACTGTTTGGGCATAAATTATAAGAGGAACATGTGTAGAAATGTGTGGCTCACTTGCTTAACATGTCCTGTAATTTTAATACAGAATCTCCAAAAGTTGAATCTGTTCATCTGGATGTAGTGTTTTGTGGGAGAAACGTTTCAGTCTCCTGAAGAAGTCACTTGGATGAGCGACGAAACATTTCTCCCACAAAATGCTACGTCCAGATGAACAGATTCAACTTTTGGAGATTTACTTTCCTGGATGATTGAGAATGCATCAAGACATAAAACAGAATCTTTGTAAATTCACAGAATTGGGGAAAAAAGGAACTTCTTTGTTATTTAGTTGTGTATCTGTTACTTAATTACTTTGATATGGTATGAATGGCCATGGTGGAGGTCTTTATCCACAGGAAAAGATGTAAACTTTTTAAGTCCAAACATCTATGTCTTTTTTTATAAATATCCAAAGCCATCCAGTGGGCCAGTTTGGAGTCTTTACCAGGCTCATTCTGTCCCCCAAACCTTATGTTTGACACCCCTGACCTACAGTAAGAACATCTTGTTCTTCCGTCTTATATGTTGTTTGTTTTCGGTGCTTATTTCAATTTGTAGAAGAAGCTAATTTTTTTTCTTCTTTTCTCTTCTAGTTCCTGTCGATTGTACAGCCCTAAGAACAAGAGGCCTTAATATTTCATAGTCATGGATCTCAGCGTGTTAATCGACTGTTTGAAACACACGCACACACCTCATTACTGACGAAGCAGGTGGCCACATTCCTGACGATGAATCCAAGAATAACAAGCACACTGATACAAAAACCGAAGAAGAAAGATTTATTGATCTCCACACAGAAACACGTTGAACTGAGGGCACTGGTTTAAAGAGAGTGGAAACTGGACATAAGGACATTCTTATGATCATCGTGGTTTTGTAAGACATTTAAAAAATTTCTTTACGCTTTGGGAGCAAAACTTGTTTGGATCAAATGAAGCGTTCGGATCAATTGCTCATGAGAGCAAAGTTAGGATTTGTATTGATGGATCATTATCGCCATTCCCATCAGAAAAAAGGAGGTCTTACATTCTTCACAAGAAAAAAGCGTGGATTTATCTGTTTAATTACACCAGAAGTGGGCTTTATGCATAGTGTTGATGAAAATAATAAATATTCTCTTGACTGAATTGAAGAGGCAGCTTACACCTGCCAGTGGAAGCTGACTGCTCTTTTTGCCATGCTGGTAATCCGGGCTGTATTTCCTACATTTATTAAAGCGGCTGAGAAGGCGTCGCACACTCGCACTGGGTTCATTTTTGCTCTTTAAGTGTGGAGCCGACCTGAAAGTCCTACACATCTGTTACTGTCACTGCCATGCAAGTGGAATGGAAAGACTAGAAGAGACAAACACGTGACTCTGTGCAGAACCCACAGTGCTGTTGAATCAAACATGCACACCGACACGCCAACCCCTGTCCGCCCGTGAGGACTTGAGCATCCTTCTCAGTTTCAGCCACATCAGCCTGCCAACATCCAATCGTATATAAAGATGCTGTTGCAGCACGTAAACCTTACTTAACACAAGTCTCAGAACAGTTTGTGTTGTGGTATATTACATTTTGCTAGAAGACAGAAATAACTGAGTATTTAAAGGGATCATGAGTGTTACTGCCACCTTTTGGAGAATTTATTGCCACTGACTGACTTGTTTTGGTTGCTCAGTGTTTGGTGTTTTGTTTTGTTTTTCCCCTCTCCTTCTGAACAATTGCCGAGCCTGTTATAAGGATCTTCCTTTTGTAGAACTGATTTGCCATTGTTTGTTTTTTTTTTACTCTGTATGATAGTTGTAAGAGTTTTGTTTGTATCATTTAAAATGTTTTTGTTTGTTTAAATTGTTTTGAGTGTAAGATGACCCCGTTTAGATTCCAGGAACAAAGTGAGGTGTTTTCTTTAGTGCCAGATGTGGGGGGTAAAAAAAAATATTAGAAATGGCTGCAACATCACATGTTGTGACTCTAATTTTTTATTTATTCATTTTTTTTAACTCTTTGAACACAAACCTGTCAGGCCGTTGGTAGTTTGATTGTTCTGCTGTTTGACAGTTTCTCTTAAAATGAAATTTAATGGGTTTTTTCTTTAGCTTACCCCCTTCTGCTTTCCCTAATGTCAGACTCTTTGATGAGCCTGTTGATTAGTTTCTGAGGAAGGTGCAGAAGGGGCGGTCTGCACAGTCTGCAACAAGATTTGCTGTTTCATATTAATATGAAGCATAAAAAAATAAAAAAGGGTGGCCTTGGTCATTTTCCTGACTGTGGGAGTTTTGATATTGGTTTCTCACCAGTGCCTGAATATGTCTCTGCTACACGGTGGATAATGTTGCATTTAAGGATTTGTAGGTTATACCTTGTTTTCCCCCCTTAAATAATAGAGGCGTTATAAAAGCATATGCACTTCAGCAAAACCGGTCAGTGTCTCAAACACCTAAATGAAGAGTCACTCTCTGTGACCAGCTTCTGTGTGTGTGCGTATGTCTCATGAGATGTAAGATGAATTATCTGGTCTACAACTTTGATGCTGAAAACTGTACTTCTTGCCTTTTGTGTTCAGAATTTTACTTATGATTTTGTTCTGAACTGGCATGTGCATTGATACATATGTACAGCTGTATGATATGTCCTTATCAGCTTTATCATTGCAAGCTGATACTGATTTGTAACAGTATTTGTCATTATTTCACAAAGTTGGCCTGTGGAGAAGCCCCCAAATATCATTTTCTTTGCCACTCATTCTGGTCTTTTTCCTTCCACAATAACATGTGTGTGTGTGTGTGTTTGTGATGTGGTTTATTGCTACTGAACACTTTGATTTCTTTACATGAAAGATGCAGTAAATCTGTATCAAACACATGCACCTGACCCTTTCTGTCCACCACAACAGATGACCTGCTATAGATCTGTCTTCACTCATGTTTGAGGACAACATCTATGTAGGCTATGTCCTCAAAGTGCCTCCAGTTTCCTATTTTTTATATATAAAGTAGATATTGAGAACTGTTGTGTATATAACAGTAATGTAGCAATAAATGTGCCATTTTTATTAACAAAACCTTCCCCTTTTTAGTGTCTTGGTTTTTGAATATACTGCATTACCTGGGTGAATCGGGATCTGTTTGATCTACTCAAATGTTTTCCAGCCATGTTTAAAGATGTAAAAAAAATTATCTGCTGCATTTTTATACATCTTTATAAAAATCTGTTATGTCAGCTATAATTTCTGCACTTTAACATTCAGTTTATCTGCTCACAAGGTTTTAAAATCAGCACATTTTCTGTCATTACAAATCCTAAATCTGTGACTGCCTGAGACGTCCACAAGAACCTTCATTCTTAATGTCTCTGATGTGCAGGTGTGCATGTGTACAGTTGGGTCCAGAATTTGTTGGATAAAGAAATTTTTTTGCACTTTTTCTTCTGTGCACCAAAATATTTAATATAATATTTAATTTTAAATGCAATGATAGCTGAAGTCCTGATTTTCAGCTGGGCTGAAGGGCTTTAATAAAACATTTGCATTAATTGTTTAGGAGTTGGAGTGCCCAATTTTAAGAACCTCCATATTAACTGGACAACACAAAACTCGTAATGTAAGTTGTCAGGTTTTGTTTTTAATGCTTGGAGTTAGTGAGTATCTGCCTGAAGTCGAGTACAAATACACTTCACCAAATGCTGTTTCCTCCATTCCTCCAGACACTGTTAGTACTTGTTGGACTCTCTGACTTCTGTTTTGTCCTCAGTAACTGAAACGGATGCACTATTGGGTTGAGGTCAAGTGATTGACTTGGCCATTGCTTTTGTAGTTTCCTTTTGGGTCATTATCTGTTTGCACTGCCCAATTAGTTTTGCAGCAATCTTTACAGTGAGTACACTTTATAATTCATCCTGCTGCTTCTATCAGCAGTCACATCATCAGTAAACACCAGTGACCCAGTATCACTGGCAACCATAGATGGTCATGCCATGGTGGTGCCTCCACCATTTGGGACAGATCATGTGGTACATGTTAATCTTGGTTTCATCTTCAGTTGTCTTCTGTCGTCTTGCAGGTTTTTTTAGTGTTGCTGAACTGACCCAGTGCATTTCTTCTTTTAAAGAACCAAATTGCTGATTTTACGTCTCCTGATAGATTTATTTTGTTCTTTCAGTCTAATGATGGCCTCCTTCACTTCCACTGACATGTCTGTGGCCCTCGTGTTTAAAACGACAGTGAAAATCTATTAAATGCAAATTTAAATAATGCAGATTATGCAAATTCAACACTTAGAATCGGTTTCAGATATCACATCTGCATCGTTTGTTGTGAAATAAGGGAACAGACCTCACCCACCCATGAAACTGCTCATCAGCCAATTTTCCCATTACTTTTTAACCTCTGTAAATGGGGACTTTGTATACAAATGGCTGTAATTCTTAAACTTTTCGTTCAAAACTTTTGAAAAACCCCTTGAACTGAAGCTGAAAGTCTGCAATGTATATTGATTTTTTTTTTTTTTTTTTTTAAATATACTGTGGTGGCAAAAAAAATTGTCTATGTTCAACAAAGTATGGCCCTAACTGAATGCAGCGTGTATATTTTATTTTTGAGCTGGAAAAATCAAACCAGTCTGAGAACCAGATCTGAGCATGTTTTGTTTTCTCTGGCCCCTACACAGAGCCAGGTAAGTCTCCACACGTGCTTCACATTTGCAAGTAATACCCCCACACTTCATTAAAAACCTTACACCTTAAACGAATGAATTCAAAAAAATCTTACATACACACGCTACTCATTTGTGAAATTTGAAAACATTTAAAAGCACAGTAACACCTGAAACCAGATGCAGTTCTTTTTTCTCAGTCCACTAGGGTGCAGACATGCGCTGTCAGCTGTGTCCATAAAATCCAACACTGTCCTCTCAAAAATTACACGGCAACTTGTGACGGAAGTCAAGAAAAACAGTACAGGTGCTATGCTGGATTACTGCCTTGCCCCTGATTTTTTTTTCTGTGCAACTTGGTACAATGCACAATTTAAAAAAAAAACAAAACACTTTTCGTTGCAAGCGCCATATAAAAAACGTCAAAAATGATTTTGTAATTGAGACAGGACTCATTTCATGAAATATTACGATGTTTTATAGATTTACCACATAAAATCGTGTTCGTTACTATTTTCTTAGGTGCTTACAAGCGCGTCAAAAAATTTCTTCGTCTTTAATTATTAAAGGCTTTTATTTTTTACGTAAGCGGAAGTACCTCTTGCGCTTGCGCACTAGATATAGGCTGCCGAGAAACTCGGAAGTGCTTCCAATCTTTTAAAGTGGCACGTCCTGCGTAAGGAGGACAAAATTCAGCCAAAATGATCGGTAAAGTAATCGGTCAGAAATATGTGGCCATTGCCAAGTCATGGTAAGAAGTTTTTACGTCGCGCCTGTGAGAAAAAGCGGAAAGAAATCGGACCTGTGCTTAAAAGAACCTCGATGTGTCCTTAGCTAGCATTAGCCGTTAGCCCAACTGAGGTCATAGTCGTAGGGACATGCTGACTTTAGACTGTCTGTTAAAGATGTTATGATTTTTATGTATTAATGCGAGTGTGAACTATCTTTTCGTTGTTAACTCTGCCTGTTCACAGAAGAGATTGGGAATCGCTTTTTTTAATACATCGAGCTAAGAGATTAAACCATGTGATCTCGGGCGAAGGTTTTTAATGTTCTTAATAAATCTGCTGCAAAGGCTGCATTAAACTTTATCCCAACTGGATTAAGTTACAGGATCCCCTCTCCTAAACAGTTACTTACATCATTTTGCAGCATGTTTATAGCTTCAGTAGATAAAAAGGCATAAACCCTTTTGTCTTCTTCTTCTAATAACCAAAACCACTAAAATGAATATTTGGTTTTACCCAATAAAATGTATTTCTCTCTTCAGTTTCATAAATCGATGCTGAAATTAATAGAAAGACAACGGACAAATTTTCACTGTCTTCTTTCCACAGGCTCCCAACTATGGCAGTATGGGGAACAACTGGAGGTGTAGCCCTAGTGTACCTCACAGACTGGCGTTTGATTTTGGATTATGTCCCCTATATCAACGGCAAATTCAAGAAGGATGACTAACATGTGTCAGGTTAGTCCAAAGAATGGCAGCGTAAAACAGTCATTCGGGAGATTATCATGCACCGTTGAATAATAAATAATCATTTAACAATCAGGAACCACATCCTAAGTTAGACTGACAGTGCTTAACAGAATGACAGGTGGCGTAAAGGTAGATCTAGGCTTGAGACTTCAGTGAGGACCAGGCATCCCCAGAGTCAGTGATGATAGTTCCAAAGACTTTACAAATTGTAGTGAATATATAATTGGTCTGTTAGCGATGACCAGTGGCCCATAAACCAACGGGGAGTCCTTTATGTGAAGTTGACATAGCTGCATGAAAATGAGAACAAACAGCTTATCATGAAGCATATATAGTGATAGAACATAAAGTAAGTAATAACATAATATGCAGCTTGTTGCAAAAATAACTGATCAGGCTACTCAGTACCAGTTTTACTTCTATGTTGACTTTAAACTTGTTTGAACAGGCAAGAATCACATTTCTCATGTGTGGCATTGTGTAACACTAAATGTTTTCAGCTATCTCTAACAGGCAGCACACGTGCGTGATGCTCAAAACAAACACATTCAGAAATATTTTATTGTTTTTTGTTTTTTAATAATTATTCTTAACATCTTTTGGGATAATTCAAACTGCTCAAGTCTAGCTTTGGTTTTCAGTAATTTTCTTGACATTGTGGATGTCCAGTCTACAGAGGGATGTATGTGACTTTAAAGAAAACAAGTCACAGTACCACAGTCGCGGGTTTGTTGGGGCCAAAAGTCGAGTCTTTCAGCATACTTAGGTCTTCAAGCGAACAATTTTGAGTCAAGTGAAACACAGACTCATTTCCTCCAATGCATACAGACCAATCATGAGTACTCACTCCCCAAAATCAAATTGTGAGCCAAGAAAAACCTACAATATTACATGTTTGTTGGGCATAGATATATATGTTTTTCCTGTTTACTGACCCAGCACACAGGCTGTCTATATAATGGTAACAGTCATGCCTCAATCCAGAGGTAAAAGCATCACTGGGTGGAGTATTAGCCCCCTGTTTCCCAAATATATTCTTTAATAAGTATTGCCTGAACTACATGACTCAACCAAACAGAATGGGACACTACATTAATATCAAAAACAAACAAGCAGACATACTGTGATTTCCGAAACAAATGTCCAGAGTCGGAGCTGAGATTGAAAAGTCTTCAACTGATAGGATGGAAACAATGAAGTGCTTGTCGTAATAATGTGAAGATTGAAAATGTGATTACTAAATGTGAGATGTCATCTGACACAAAGCTGCCAGGCGATCTTTTGGTTTCATTTATTTCTCACTTACAAAGCAGACATTCAAAAAGGCAATGAACAAATTCAGGAGCTCATTATGCTCAGTCACTGGAAAACACTAGTCATAAAAAGACTTTCTGGTCTGATCAAATTAAAGGGCTTTAGCATGAATTGTATTTACTACAGCTCTGGAAAAACAGGGGCACATTTCATCAGTTTGCTAAAAGAAAGTATTGACAATTGTGGTGACATACTCATTGATATATTTTATTTTTCTTTCCAGTTTGTTTTTGTATGTGATTTTTTGTTTTTGTCATATTGTATATTGTTGTCCTTAAAGGTTTGGTTGCTTTAACATAGTAATCGGCAGATGTTTGGGATAAATAAATTAATAACTTAAATGAGACTGGACAGTTCAGAGAGGACACAAGACCAGAATTAAGGAAAGTGGCCTGTTTGAGACTATATTTGGCAGCTTCTAATGAAAAGACTGTGACCACTTGAAATTTAAAACTCATAGGCATTAACTTTGAATTGGTTCATTCAGTTGATGTTGATTAAATTTTGAATGACTGTTTCAAACGAGAAAAAAATTACAGTTAATAAACAAAAATGCTTTAATATTCCATTAAGTTTTTCTTTTCCGTTTGCCCTCAGCATCCAGCTTTGATAATTTCTTGAAC